GAGGACACGAGGAGTGACCGCTAGTGGGTGTGGACTTCTTTCTCAGCTGATGAAAACATCCTAGAACGTTGACCATGGTGGTTGTTGCCCAGCTCTGTAAATATGCTAAAAACTATTGACTGGTACACTTTACGTCGGTGAATTACACAGCAGGTGGATTATATCTCCGTAGAGCTCGCAAGGAAAAAAAAATAATGGTACCATAATATTGGGTTGTTGGAAAAATCAAATGGGGTAATACCCACGAGAATCAACACTCAGTAAGGGTTAGCATCTCTTCTGGAAGCTCCTGGGCAGGGCTGACGGGAAAGCATCTGACCCTTTGAGACCCTGGGGTGCTGATGCCATGTGTGACATCATGTCTGGAGATGCTCTCTAGTAAACCTTTGCTTCCTGCTTTCCTTTTCTAGGGCAGGGGGCCTTTTGTCCGCGGAGAGAAGGGTGAAAAGGTAAGCCTGGCCCTTTTATCGCTCCTCTGGGGGCTGTGCAGCTGGCCAGGGAGCACAGTGTGGAGGGTCGCCTGGGTTTGGGAGAGGTGGCCCACTGTCATGCCGTCTGTAAGAGTCCGAGGGGAGCGAGTAGCCTCGGCGTGTCCTCCCCTGACTTGGGCGGTTGGAGCACGTGCAGTGGCCAGCGCTTCCCGGCGGCAACGAGCATGAGTGAGCACGTTGGAGGGAAGCGTCCCTGTAGGACGTGGGTGGCTGACGCGTGAAGGAGCAGAGGGTGCTTGCTGGCACCCGTAGGGAGCAGGACACGGAGCCACAGAAGTGCTTTGAAGAGCAACACTAAGGAGGACGTTAAACAGAGCGTGTTCGGGCCTCGTGTGCAGTTTGGGAAGGTCTGTGCACGGTCGGACACACTGGGCAAGTTTGAGTCGCAGGTGCCAGATGGGTGTGAGGCGAAAGGACCAGAGGAGTCCTCAGGAGGCTTGCAGAAGTTTCAAGGGGAGATGGTGAGAAGCAGCGGGAGAGGCAGGCAGGGCGGTGGGGGGGATGGGAGGGAGGCGCGTGTGTGTTCTCCCCAGATACGGGTGTTGCACCTTCTCTCACTTCCTCATGACAAACAGAGCCCGACAGATCCTGGACATTGCGGTTCCTTCTGAAGAAAGCTCTTGTAAGTGGTTTGTCTATACGGAGAAATAAAAATCGGGGTGGCACTAAAATGCCATTCGTTGACTCGCACGAGCCATTAAAAATGTACCTGCGTGCCCCCCCCCCCTCCTTGCCCCTACCAGGAGACAGCCACAGGACTTCTAGGCGTGCATTTGTGCTAATGTCTCACCAGAGTGCAGGACTCAGAATGCACCGCTGGTGGACCCTGGATGGTTTTGTCCTCACACCCTCGCGTAGGGCTGGCCGTCCGAGCAGGTGCCGCTCTGTCCCCTTATTGGGGAAACAGCTTTCATGTGGCCAGCCCGTTCTCTCCCTGCAGGTACCCTTTTACTGAGCACTTTCACCCCAGAGGTTTCCTCCACAGAGATAAATCACGGACGCACAGAAGTTCACACTCCGCGTTTTACTCTGTGTAAGTCGTGAGACTGGACACGAGCATGTGCCGTGTAGCAGGCAGAGGGTGAATAAGTTACCGCACGGCTAAGGAATGCAGTGGTACTCGGGGATGCCGGACCACATCTAGACCAACGATTAATGACCTAGAAAATGAAAATAGTATTTTGTTCATTTTGAAAGCACATGGGAAAACATCTATCCAGTGTAACCCTAGCCCTGGGTGTGTGTGTGTGCACACGTGTGTGCACACACAGTCACTCCTGCAGGAGAGCAGTCTGAGAGCCAGCGTGGTACACAGCACAGCATGACTTTGCCACCAGTTTCCCAGTCTGGGTGTCCTGACACTGAAGACGGGACTGGTGGCCACCATCCATCCTTCCGGTGTGGTTTAAAAGCCCAGCACCTGGAGGCAAGATGCTCAAAGTCAGTAACCACTTTTGCCTATTGTTGCCAGCTTGCCAGGCTCCTGTGGGCCCGGAGCACAGGGATTAGCAAGAGACCCGGATGTTCCTATCAGGACTGGGGTTGCCGGAGCCCTTGAAGTCCAGGTGCTGGGCCCGGGTGGTGCTTGGTGGGCGATACCAACATGTGTCTCCTGGACCAGCACGTCCTCTGGCTGGAGAGGTGTCCCCAGGCAGGAAGTGATGGGCCTCTTTTCTCTGTTGAGCAGTAGGTGCTGCTGGGCCTTGTCTGTTCTGGTTTAGCTCAGAAGGAGCAGCGTTTTTCTCCTGATGCCTGGAGCCACCTCCCTGGTGCCCCAGACCCCTGCCTGCAGCACCACATTCAGGACTCGAAGCTGCCAGCTCACAGTCCCAGCCGGGGAGACCTTCTCACATACTTGGTGCTGGCAGGACAGATGGGCCACTGGACAGACTTCTACCAGTTCTGGCTCTGTCCTTAGTTGACATTCTCTTGCAGTTGGACATTTTTAGCAAAGTCTGAGTCTGGAATCTGCCACATATTAGCTGTGTGATTTGGGGTGAGTCACCTCCCTCTCTGGGCCTCTGCTTCATCATCTGTAAAAGCGAGGGGGTGGGACGAGATGATGCATAAAGGCTCTTGCAGGCGGCAGCTCTGAGACTTGGGAATCAGCCCAACCCAGCCCGATTCCCCAGGGCTGTCTTCTGCAGCTTAGAGTCTCTGCTTCCCCCTCGAGGATGAGCCAGGGCGAGGGTGGGTCACGGGGACTGATAGAGTCCACAGAGCAGAGAAGGTCACCGGTGACTAATGCATTTGGACAGGGCCCAACAAACTTCTGCACTTGAATATTGTCCCCATAGCAGGTGCCTCGAGTGAGGGGATTGGATGGACTAGAGCTCAGTGGGTCCAGGGATTATATTTCTCTGATCGTGGCTGTGTGTCTTGTGTTTCTGGCATGTAATTAACTGTGAGGATGTGTGTTGGCCTCTAGGAGGGCCAGCGCGCCCCATACTTTAGGTCTCGTGATGAAGACAGTGCATTAGGGAGGGCACTACTTACGCCCATTTCACAGATGGGGAGAATAAAGCTTAGAGGTCAAGTGACCTGCCCAGGGTCACAAGTTAATGGGATGGTGGGAAACATAATCACTGGTTATTACTAAAGGGAAGGGCAGGCAGCTGGAGGGCTGATTAAAGCCCCCCTTCCCCAGCAGCTGAGAAAACTGGCTCTCAGAGAAGGTAGGTCACTGGCCCAAGGTCACACGGCTCTTGGCCTCCTGACTCTCCTTGGCTCCCACATCGGATGCCCTAGACCATTGCATGGTGCCATGTTCCTGGACTGCTTCTGCCCCTTGTCTTGGAAGCTGATCTCCTCTCTGGTTCCCATATTCACCAGAGAGTTCTTGGGGCCAGTCTCCCCCAGTGTTTTAATATATGTGAAATCAGACTAAGGTCAGGGGGGGAAGCCTTTTAGGGGATGCCCCCAAACTGCTGCCCACAGCCCAGGCATTGTGGCCGTAAACAGAGAGGAAAGGAGGATGAACCTCCGAAGCAGCTGGGGCACAGCTGGCATCAGGCATGGGCTTTACCACATGAGCGGATGGATGAATGGATTTGGGGCTCTGTCACCCAGGACTGAGGACCAGCTTCACCCAGTAGGGAGATCACAGACTGCGTGGAGGAGACCCAGCTTCAGAATCTGGCTCTACCTCGTGCTGACCCCATGTCCATCCTTGGTCTACTCTGAGCCTCAGTTTCCTCTTCTGTGAAAGGGGGAAGGGGATGGTAATGGTTCCCACCACCGAAGGAGGCAGTGTACATGAAGGGGTTGATGCAGTGCCTATCGAGCTGGTGATGCTCTGTTCCTGTTACTCCCATAATCTTCAGTTAATTTCCAGCTCATTTTGTGGTGGTGATGAGGGCATATAGCCGCTGCTCTGGGCTGGGCTAGACCAATTCGGGTGCAGTCAGAGAGAGCAGGGAGGGGTGATGACCTCAGTGCCCTCTGCCCTGGGTTCTTCCCTGCAGAGAAGATTGACCAGCACAGTGGGACGCTGGCATGAGGGTTCCTTTGGGTGGGCACTGAGTCGGTCTGGGTGCCATGGAGGTGAAGTCTACGGCATTAGCCAGACCGTGAGCCCCACCAGTGGAAAGATTTAGAAACAACAGAAACAAGACCAAAATGTGAGTTTCCAGTGAGCTTCTTCGTGGTGCATCCTGGGGGTCTTTCTGCTGTGGGGACCAATGCTGCCTCTGGAGGAACCCAGAGCCACTGGGTTGTGTCCCGTTCCTGGGCCCACAGCGCCCTCTGGTGTCTGCACGCCAGAGCATCTGCTCCAATTTCCCTCTGCAGGGCTCCTGCCTAATGTGACACTGGGCACATCTCTGCCGTTCTGGGGCTGTCGTCTTTTCTTCAGAAACCTGGCAACTGGGGGGGAAGGAAGGAAGAGGAAGTCTTGGTTTTGTGCTCAGACCTGGGTTCAGGTGATGGAAGGAAAGCAGGTTTGGGGAGCTGGGCAGACATGGCTTGGATCCCAGCTCTGCAGAGGCTGGGTGATCTTTGGCTGGTGTGTCCCTGAGCCTCAGTGTCCCCTCTGTAAAGTGGGTGCAGTGGTGCCTTCCCGGTGTGGCAGTTGTGGGGATCATGGGAGGTTGCTCATGCCTGTAAAAGCACCTGGCTTAGTCCCCGGCTCAGGTAAGCACACGTAAAAATCCGTTCCTTGCCTTTCTTGTCCTTCTGCTGGAAATTGCCAAAACCCGGGGAAGAGTAATGTGTGTTTCTTCAGCAGAAAGCATTCAAGTACCTTGTATGAGAGAGGGTGGTGGGCTCACAGAGCCCTAAAACCTGAGTTGGGGCCCCCGCCAGGGGCTCGTTCACCGGTTCCGTGGAGGAAACGTGCCTGAGCACAGCCATGTGGTCCAGAGTGTGATTCTTGCGGGTCCCTAGATAAGCCGGGTTGTGGCCTCCACCTGCCATGCTGTTGACAAACACTCAGGACCCTGTCTGAGCCTCAGGGACCGAGGAGCAGAGGACGGTCACATCAGCAGAGCACCCCAAGGGCTTCCTAGGATAGTAGGTGTTGTACTGGGGGGGGGGGCGGTGGCGAGAAGATGCATCCCCCCAAAAATGTCTAGGAAGTTATCATGAGCACAATGCATATGAAAGGAAAGACAGAAACAGAAACAAAAATACCACAAGCTGACTCTGTCTTTTGTAAGTACTCGTGACAACTACAATGGCAACGAGAAATGGGAAACAAGCTAATGGAGTATCACGTTGCAGCAGCCAGATGGGCATAAGTGAGAATTAGGAACACCTTGCGATAGGGAGCTATGCATGCAACATAATGCAAATGAAATAGAGGCCAGGAAGCCCTGCGTGCTCACACATAAAAAGACGTGTGTGCGGTGCAAACAACCAGCACATTGGGGCAGTGGGATTTGGGGGGTTCCATATGTCTTGTTAATTACTCTTCCTGGTGCTACAACATCTGTAAACATTTAACCAAAGACTAAGTCTTA